TGCTTTGACTCAACGCTTATGGCCAAGGAAGTTGCAAATAAATGTACTTGGTTCTCCCTGGTGTTTGGTCTCTTTGACCACTTTGTTCATGTATAAAGTGTCTGTGTGTATATACACTTGTGCCTTTCCTGTCGAGATGCAGGCTGAACTTCTTTCATCCCACATTCCTTACCTTGTGCAGTTTGCTTCCCAGCAAGCTCACTTGTTGAGTGAAGTGGTGCTTTGGTGACACATAGCTTGGAAAGGGAGATTCATCTCCCCACGTCCACATGTCCCTTTCAGTATTAGTCTTTCACCCACTCCCTCACTTGCTTTACATGTGAGTAAGAATGATACAAAAGAACAAGCATGAATGTTTTGTCCCTAAACTCACAAAACAATCTGTTGTAATGGTGATGGGGGAGAATCTTGTTACAGCTCTGAAATGATCACCTAATTTTTCTAAGGAGATGTCACTCTATTCCACAAAAACCTACTCTGTGGTAAATGAAAACATATCCAAAGGTAGCCATGATGGCAATATAGCAAAGTATAGTATCATCCAAAATCTACAAATTTTACTGGACCAATCAAAATGCACATTATACACATTGCAAGTTCCACTAGATTCTTCATCAGGCAAAGGTGTTAAAAAATTATACAGGAGAAAGAAAGAAAAATTGACGATGTTAATCATAGGCATTTGGTCAAGATGCTGTAGTTGTTGTTCTCAGTTCAGATGGTATGGAAGGTTATTCATGCAGTTGGGCCCCTCCTCCTTCCGGCCATGTGGATTCTGGAAAAATCAGTTCAGGAAATAAATTTTAAATTCCATTAAAAAGACAAAATGCTACTGCCTTTGTGATCCATCTGAACTGAGGACAACAACACAACATCTTGACAAGATACAGGGTTATGACTAACATAGTCGTTTCTCTTTCTTTCCCCTGTATCTTTTCTAACACCTTTGCCTGATGAAAAAGACAGTGGAGCTCTGAAAGCTTGCAACATATGTAATGTGCATTTTGGATGGCCCAATAAAGGTATTCCTGTTTTGTGGACTTTGGATGATACTGTACTCTGTTAGACTTTTACGTATGACAGTCACTTTAAGTGATAGAATCACATTCCAGCTCCAGACATCTATATTACTGTGTTGTGGCAAGTAGCAATAAAGCAGTTGGAATTATAATAGCCAGACATATGTCTTTAATCCTCAGCAACAGCATTTGAGGGTAGTTGGTTATTAACAATAGCACTTACATTTCTGTACCACTTCTTAGTGAACTCAGCACTCTCTAAGTGGTTTACAGTGTTGACCAAAAGGATGGAAAAACCTTGGATTTTTCTGAGGGGATTGGGTAATGTACAGGCTAACTCTACTGCGGGAACACAAGTTTTCAGAAAAGCAGAGCAGATCACAGCACATAGATGACAGGACTGAAGATCCCTCACCCACCCAGCTACATGGTATAGGTAAAGTGCAAAGAATTCACCAGTTATAAAAGCTTTCATCCTGCCTGTCAGCAAATCAGCAAATCAGGTCTCACCCTTCCTTCTCTC